TGTGTGGGACAGTAACTTTGTCTTTGAGCCACTGTATGGGAAAAGGAAGGGAAGGAAGGAAGGAAGGATTCTTTAATGCAAGTCAGGTGCATTTCTCATAGCTGCTTCACATTAACTAAATACATAAAAAAAACCAATAAGAATCCTGGGTCTTAAACATAGAACTTACATCAAACCACTCAAACCCACAATGAAATTTAAATTCAGATTAAAGCTTTCTTCTGTAACCATGCAACTCAGGTGTATTCAAGTTCTGTTTGTAAAGCACTATTGTGAGCTGTTTTGATACCTGAATCTGAGAGGGCTCTGCATTGTGCTTTCCAACCTTTTGATGGGCCTCATTCTGTTTGCTTTAGTAGTCCCCTGACCTGAATTGCAACAGAAGAAAAGCTTGTTGTTTGCTGGAAATGAGATCTCATTGGCAGTTCTCCTGGAAATAATAGATAAGGAAAAACTACTCAATATATCTAAAGAAGAAGAAGAAAAAGAAGAGAACTGAAGCCAGAGAGGTAGAAATGACAGCTGCGAGAAACTATTTAAAAGAAAACATTCATTATTAAATATGAAACTGCAATTTAAATTTTGGAAATTATTAGGAGCAAGAATCCTTGATATCCACAGCTTTTAAAGTTTTATTGCATAACTTAGGCTAGCTGAAGAAGATGTAATACTAAATGTGATGACTTACCTATAGCCATGCAATTTCCTAAATAAATCGTCCTTAACTCCTGCTTTGTTTAATTAAACATATAAACTAATTGATAAATTAAAGATTTTTTTAAAAAAGCAAAACAAAAGTAATACATACAAATAAACAAAAGCCTTGAAATCAGCTGTTTTCTGGTAAATGTGTAAGTTACCATGCATTTTCATTTTTTAAGTATTTTATTAGTTTTTTTTGTAATTTAATTTTTCACTAAGACTATAAAATAGAGTTGGGCACATTCATTTTAATAAAGTGAATAATAAATAAAATGATCACCTGGATTTCTGAAGTGGAAGAACAGTAAGCCATATATGAGAATTTTGCAAAGCAGATATAAGGAATGCAGTGGGAAAACAAGGCAACAGAGTGTCAGTTGGGTGACTAAAAGCATTGATGATGTAAGTTTTTCATCGTCTTTCCAAGATATTTTACATGTTGCATTTGTCATGTAAATGAGGATGTTCTAGGAAAGGACTTATTCAGTCTTTTGCTTCCTTGAGCATCCACATTCTGGATATTTTGAGATGTGAATCATTAGGTGCCTGACAAATAGATCTTCATAATGATTTGAGGCTATCAAAAATATACTGTATAGAGAGATATAGGTTACTGTGGTAAACAAAATAAAGATATGTTCCCAAAATGTTTTACAATATTTCTGACCTTATTTAGCACTTCCAAAGGCCAAGTTCACAGTGAGAAAATAATTAAAGGGGATGTGTGTGTGTGTGTGTGTGTGTCCGTGTCCGTGTCCTTAATAATAAAAACACGAATCCTGGGTATACACATGTCATGAAATTGATAAACAAAAACGATCACCAGGATAAAATCATAAACAAAACTGTTTAATCTACAAAAGTACTGAGCTTTCGTCGGCCACATTTTATACTCTGACAATGTCAGCAGTGTGGCTGACGAAAGCTCAGTACTTTTGTAGATTAAACAGTTTTGTTTATGATTTTATCCTGGTGATTGTTTTTGTTTATCAATTTCATGACATACATACATACATACATACGTGTGTGTGTGTGTGTGTGTGTATAAACACAATTGCAAGGAAAAACAAACACCAGGATAAGAATAAGCAGGGCTGTTTAATACAAACAAGCCTGCCAGTAAAAAGCCACTTAGCTTTCATCAGCCAAACTGCCGACGTCGTCAGAGTAAGGATAAAAAGGAGATCTGGGAGCTCGCCTATATAGCTGCTTGCCTCTCGAGCGCATCATCGGCCCGTTCCTTTCAATCAACCATAATGCATTGAGCTGCTCTGTGTTCATCAACCTGCCCGTGGGCTCGAGGGTTGTCCTCTGGTCTTCAGTCGCTCTTCTGGTGTGCGTGCGAGCACCTGGGGGGGGGTGATTATTCGACAGCTTCTGCTCCTTACCTCCCTCCCTGTTTTGGAACGATCTTGGATGTTGATTCTCAAATTGTAACTCGGGCGCACTGTCAGGTTGCCATCCTCTCTGGAGGCCATCACCGTCGCGCCTGTAGTCTCCCCGCCCCAATCCTGCAAGGGATAGCTGTCCGAGCATTTCCGTTCCCGGCCTCCCCCCTCGTTCCAAGCCGCTTCTGCACGTCAATCCTTAGCTCGCGGCCGTGGCGTGCCACTAATCCGTCGCCTCCTCCCATAAAGGTCTTCACCATATTGTCTACAACTCCGCCCCAGTCCTGCAGGGAGCTGTCCAATTGTTCCTGCCCCGGGGGGGGGGTGGTTGTTCAACCACTTCTGCTCCTTACCTCCCTCCCTTCCCATTTTGGAGCGATCTTGGATGTTGGTTCTCAGGTTGCAACTCGGGCGCTCTGTCAGGTCGCCATCCTCTCCGGAAGCCATCGCCGTCGTGCCTGTAATCCCCTCACCCCAATCCTACAAGAGATAGCTATTCGAGTGTTTGCGCTCCCTGCCCCCCTCTCATTCCAAAGAGCTGTGCGTCAATCCTCAGCCTGCAACCGTGGCACACCGCTAATCCGTCGCCTCCTCCCATAGAGGTCTTCACTGTCTCGCCTGCAGCGCCATCGTCCCAGTCCTGCAGAGAGCTGTCCAGTTGTTCCTGCCCCTGACCTCCTTTCCCCCTTGGTAGGAGGCGGTTCTGCACATCGATCCCCAAGTTGTAGTCTGGGTGTGCTGCAGATCCGCTATCTTCCCCGGGGGTCGCCGCCACCTCGTCCATGATACCGTCACTCCGATCTTGCAAGAGGCAAGTTAGTCATCTCCTTTGTGGGTCGCAACGCTGTTTCTCCCACCTTCTGAGAGTCTGGTAGGCTGGTAGGAGGTCTATGTGCCAATTGATGGAATGTTCATCAGACAACCAGGCCTCCTTAAGTAAGCGGCCGCCCTTAGTGGTCTCATGAGATATAGCCTCCACGTTGGCAAGGTCAAACATATGGCAATGACTGGCCATATGGGCCCATAATTGTGAGCGTTGCTGTTGCCTTTTAATTGCCAGTTCATGTTCATGGATCCTGGTCCTGATTCTTGCAATTAATTCTGTAAATTACAGAGGATCTTTCGTTGTCAGGGAGCGGCCCTTTGGGGTGCATGATCTTGGCATGCAGGGTCTGATCCGGTTCACATTGTAGGGGGCTAATAGTCGTGCCGTGGCCTTGGAGACACCATTGATGTAAGGGAGGGTTGTTCGTGTGGTCCGTGTTGTTACACTGGAGTGTGGGCTCCTGCGAGGCTGATATGGTCTGCTGTATCGCCTCACAAATTCCATGGGATAGTCCAGTGACTTTTTACTGGCAGGCTTGTTTGTATTAAACAGCCTGTTTATTCTTATCCTGGTGTTCGTTTTTCATTGCAATTGTGTTAATATGTGCATTCCCAGGATTCACATTTTCAATGTTATAAAAGACAACATACATACGTATGTACATACATACATACTATCAAAATAAATACAGACCGCCAAGAGAATACATATAAAAAGTTTAATCTACCTAGCTTTCGTCAACAAAACGTTTGACATCGTCAGGGCTAAAAGGCAACAGCTGGTTGAAGCCTTATATATCATTGCCGAATGTCAGTTTACGGCTCCTGGAGCGAGTAACAGGCCCCAGCTGATCCTGCCATGCTTCCAGCATACTGCTCACGTCATCATTCACCCCTCTCCTTCTCCGAGTCTGTGTTTCCTCTCGTGCCGCTCCCTTCGTTATTGTAAGGTTATGCATGTTCAGGGGCCAGCAACTGCCGGCATTCTTTCGTGTAGCACCTCCCATATTCCATACATGATTGCATCCCAGGTCCGGAGAGGGGAGGGGGGGATCATCCCTTTTGCTCTTACACGCCACGTCTCCACTTCATTCCTGCTTGTTGTTGCCCTCGTACCATAGCGAAGGTTCTCTCTTTTCTCTCCTACCCCCGGTTCTGCGTGGCATACGCCCGCTTCTTGTTTCCTCATCCTCACACCCCTCCCAGGCACCCTCTGTAACCATCCCGTTGCTAGCGCTCACTTGTTCAGACTGCTGCCGGGGAGTTGCTAAAAGCATTGGGGGGGGAATGTTGTCCTTCCCTCTGTTTTGAACGAGTTGTCATCCTATGCCTATTGGTGCCATTGAAAAGGAGTTCCTCTTTATTACAGTCTTTCAACCCTCCATCCTCTTGTCCTTCAAACTCCGTTCCACCGTTGTGCATGTTGTTACTCCATTCCATGACAAGATTGCTTTTCAGATGCCTTGCTGGTTCCCGTGGAAAATGTTCATCAAGGACCATCCGTTGATGACCCAGTGGAAGTTGTCCATCCGGTGTTGGGTAAACAGTTGGTGGGGGGTGCAGGTGCCGGGGGGATCTTCTTCTTCTGGTCATGCAGCTCAAAGTTGGATCCTCCAAAACCGTCTGTGCGGCAGCTGACATTCCACGCTCTCAGGGCTTGATACGTGGGGCACAAATCGACATGGCGATTGATGGAATCAGTTCCTGAGAACCATGCCTCTTTTAGCAGGCGACCTCCCTTTGTGGTGTCATTGGCAAGGATTTGGGTGTTCTCAAAATCAAAACCATGTCCTTGTTCGGACATGTGGGTCCAAATCTGGGAGTATGGCTCCGCTCGTTTAACTGCCAATTTGTGCTCCTGTAGGCGTGTTTTTAGCCTCTTAGAAGTTTCGCCTACATAATTGCTCCTACACCCCCTACAGTTTATTTTATAGATAATTGCTGACCTTTCAGTAATGGGAAGTTGATCCTTTGGACGCATAACCTTAGCCCTTAAGGTCATCATCCTGAAAGAATCTGTCAAGGAATCAAATTATGCCAGACAGTAAAAGCAAGATATGTCCACTTGGAAGGGACGGGGAGTGACAGCTGGCAACCATGTTTCAGTTTTTGCTCGGTTTTGCAGTTGGCAATGTAGTTGGAATGTATTTGGCCCAGAACTATGATGTTCCAAACATTGCAAAGAAGATTGAAGACATCAAGAGAGATGTAGAAGCCAAGAAGAAGCCTCCAAGTGATAAATGATGCTGATTTAGGCATCCTACTATTCAACACAGATGGTGTACTTTAACCATCCAGCCTTAAGTGTCAAACCTTTATTGGCTTTAATGAATGCTCCCATGCCTGATCTCAGAGGGCCTTAAAAAGCATTCTGGCTTAGTGTTACTATATCCTTGTGGCTTCCTTGCACTTGACTTTTTTCCAAAGAAAAAAATATCCCATACAGTATATATACAAACTGGACTTTTGTTCTCAGTTTATTGCTTCAGTAATACTTTATATTTAGTAATAAGAGTCAGGAACAGAATGAAGGTATGCCATTAATTATTCCAATCTAAAAATATAACTCTACAAATATTGGTATCTATTTGTAAAACATTAAACATCTGATAAAAATGCCCATCTTGTTGCTGAAATATGACTTTTCTATTTGATTGTTGGGCATTCCTGCAACATGTATAGTCAGCATGAATTGAATGTCAAACATTAAGCAGTTTATAGAGGTATGATACCCAATGTCAGAATCCAAATATATTCCATCTCTAGTTATCAACTATGAAAAACTGCATTTCTGCCTGCTCTGGATTCTGTCATACAATGAAGGGAAGGGGGTGAACAAAGGGGCTTTATGGCCCTCACTTCCTTCAGTATACTTCAAAGGGACTGGGTGTGGATATCACCAAAAGGACTAACAATAACAATTGGGGTCATTACCTTTCACGTAATCCTTTCTGAAGTCTCTCCTCCTCTGCAGTGAGGAAAAGGGGGTGGGAATGTAATGCCTGGAACTGTCGCTGGAAGAAGGGGGTGATGGGGTGGGGCTACTGGGGGATCCCTTAAAACCTTGAATGGGAGAGCTTGGACCCCAAGTCCTGTCTATAACACCTGCAACCAGCTTTCTCTTAATAAAGATGCCTGTTGGAAGAAATATTCCAGGAGTTCTGTCTTCTTAAGATGCAAAGTGGGGTGGGTCCTTACATTAGACAGGACTTGCAAAATTAGTCCACCTGGAAGGAAGATCCTTGCCGGGGGACTTTGCAAAAATTACCATGTCAGACGGTGGAGCAAGGAAGGGAGAAAACTCCCCGGAAAGGGAGCCGCTGCCCCGGCTGAAACCCTGCCAGCTGTCGGGATCTGAGAGGTCAGAATCCTCAGGAGAAGAGGTGGTGGAGACACGGGACCACAAACCTCGGTGGTCAATGGACGTTGGAAAGAAAGGCGAGTGGGGAAAGAAATCAAGAAAGGTGACTCTGAGACGGGGGCCCAAACAACCAGAATGGAAGCAGGAGATGGAGAAATCCCTGCACGCAAGTGAAGAGGAAGGGAGCTGGGCACCGTACTCAGGCTGGATCCTAGAGAAAGCAATCGACCTAATGAAGCGAACTCTCAGCTCCCTAGGAGAGGAGAATCCTGAGCCCTACGCCCGCCCCAGCTCCTGGAGCCGCAAAGGGAGAGACAACGAAGGGGAAGTGGAACCTGCAGCCCCGGGGACATCTGCTGATCCAGTAGTCCCCACTCTCCGCCGAACCACAGATGGAAATCTGAATGGAAGAGACTACCACCGAGAACGAAGGCACGGATCCATTCAAAGACGTCCGCCGCTGGAGGTGAAATTCAAAGGGGAGCCAACACGCTTGGGATTTTTCCTAACCCAAGTCCTCAGCTACATGGAGGAATACGGGCAGGACATCCCCAGCGACAAAGCCTGTATCCGGATTGTGCAATCTGCCTTAGACGGGCCGGCCGCAGATTGGGTGGTGAACTTGCACGACTCCAATGCCCCAGAGCTCAACGACTTCAACCGCTTTATGTCCTCCCTGAGAAGACGATTTGAGGACCCCCTGGCTGATCGCAAAGCCCGCGAAAGGATAAAAACGATGAGGCAAGGCAAATGCCTGGTAGCCGAATATACACAAGAATTCCGGGCCATTGCCAGCAAACTGAACTGGCCAGAAGACATCCTCCTTAGCCATTTCAAAGACGGACTAAATTATGACCTATATGATACTTGCCTGCCCCGAGGGGACCCACACCAACTTGAGGAATGGTACGTCTTGGCAGAGGAAGCAGAGATCGACATATTGAAGAGGCACCGCTGAGGAAAACAATGGAGCCGCTCACCGCCTGAGCTGACATGCGAACCAGTGAAACCATTGGACACGGCCAAGAAGCAACCGGGGTGTTTCAAGTGCGGGAAAGAAGGGCACCGAGCTGTAGAATGCCGCTCAAGAGCCACCCAACACAACCCAAACAGATCACCGGCCAGTAACTCAGGAAAGCCTCCAGCTAAGCCAAAAGAACCTGCCATGAGAATGATGGAAGCTGTGGAATCCCCCACCTCTGCTCAGCAGGGGAAAAGAACCCCAGCCTACACCGCAGGGCCGGTGGACGCCTCAGATGACAGCTCGGAGGGCAAACCCCTGGTAAGTGGACACATCGCACCCATCCTCAAGACAGTGACTATATTCATTCCCCCCATGGCCGAAGCTATGAGGGTGAGAGCATTAATAGACTCTGGCTGCACCCGCTGCCTCATTAGCCCGACACTAGTGGGGAATCTGGGCATTCCGTCGAGTAGACTGGAACAACCAATCTCATTTGGCCAGTTAGATGGGTCCATAGCAGGGGGGGTGCCAGCTACCCTAGCCACTTTACCAATACACCTCTCCCTGGGCAAACATGAGGAGGACATAATGTTTGTGGTGACCCCAGGCATGGAATGTCCAATGATCTTAGGGATGGAATGGTTATACAAAAATGGAACCCCTGGGTGAATTGGAGGACGGCAGAAATCAAATTCCCGAAGGGGGACCCTATGGACTTAAAATCCCAAGGGGGGCTACCAGAATCAAGAACAGAAAAAGCATCCATGGGAGAGGAAAAGGGACTACCAGAAATACGAGAGGAATACAGAGTCCTTGCTGAAGTTTTCAGTGAGGAGAGGGCGGATGAGCTCCCCCCACCACCGGCCCACAGACTGTGCCATTGAATTCAAACCTGGGGCAAAACACCCGAAGCCCAGATTATACTCCATGAGCCCAAAGGAGAAGGAGGAAATGGAAAGATTCATAAAGAAAAACCTAGAAAGGTGGTTCATTGAGCCAGCCAAGCCTAAAGTGGCTGCCCCGGTCCTCTTTAGGGAAAAGAAGGACGGCTCTTTACGCTTATGCGTGGATTATAGGGCCCTGAATACAATCAGTGAAAGCAATCTATACCCTCTGCCTCTCATGAAAGACATGTTGTCACACCTCTCGAAAGGGAAAAATTTTTCTAAACTAGACCTAAGGGA